TAGTGCTACAAACAAGTTCCTTCTTCTTGTAAGTAATTCTTTCTACAACTTTGATCTTCACTACACCTTCCAGTTCTATAATGTAGTTTTGGGACATGGAAACCAGAATCACAGTCAGAATCACCAAGATATGACTTATGACATATGACTTATATGATATATAAGTGGGATTTGCAGTGAAATAATCAAGTTGGTTTTCATACTATGGTAGCTATTCACACTGTTTCAGAGTCAGTTTTATTCTCATCATTCATCATTTCCAAATGAAACAAGAAAGGTTGTTCTGTCTGTCTGCCTCCCATTCTCCTCCCAGGATTAATCTACCTTTGAAAGGCACGTCCTCTTTCCCTACCAGGAAAACTACACTCTTGTGAAACCATTTTGTGCTTCATTGGTTGGCTCAATACCAGTATGTTATCATAATTACCCAGGGTCACATCTGCTTCCTCTGTATCAGTCTCACAATCCCTTTTTGCATCCTCTCCTTCAGAGGGAGAGGTGTGGTTTACTCCCAAGAAGTGAGGTGTCATCCACACATGGCTGTCACAAGGTTGCTAGCAATACCCAACCTAGCCTTTGTTGTTCTCTACATTAAAATGCATTAGCTCTTTTTAGACAGCTGAAATGTACTAATACTACTGTCCATCATATTCCTTCTCTAAATCAAAATTGCAAAGCTCAACCCCAGCAAAGCCCTTCCTTTAAAATCAGCCTTTCCTGTTCTGCTAAGTTTTCTCCAGAGAACATCTGATTTATCCTTGTGATTTTTCCTCATTTCTGTGGAGCTCATGGCTGCTTTTCAAGAAAGGACTTTCTTCAGGCACAACTTTCCATCTGTCCTTAGTGACAAAGAAATATCCTTCCCTGTCTGTAGGTGGGTCAAAGCTGCTCTCACACTGTGGCTCCTACAGCCCTTTAAAAACTTTGTTTAACAACAAATACTCAGTTTTTCACTTCAAGATCTTTACGCATATAATCAAGGATTTCTGTTATTTCTCATTTACCTCCTCCAGATTCTTGCCAGGAATTATTCTTTCTAACTGCATCCTTTCTATGTCTGCACGGTCTTCAACTGTTTCTTTCAGCTGTCCCTTAATTTACCTTCTTTCCTCCTGACATATTTTATATTTTTTCTTCCAATTCACCATTTCATGTGTTAAAGCCAGGTATGACGATCACATACATATCTATCCCTTCTTTTCTCTCACACTGTGTTATTAAAACCTTTTATTGGCTGTAGTATCTTCATATCATAGGACTCATACCAGGTGTTTGGAGAAAAGTGTAAAAAACTCCAGCTCCATGAGCTTCCCAGGGGCAGCTGTAACAGATCTCCCACTTCTTCACAGCATCAGGCTCAGGGGCTTTTGCTGCCTGAAGACTCTTTCCTATGAGGACTAAACAGTGTGACTTAAGTGATTCCTGACTCAGTGACATAGGGAAATGCTATGGAGTGCTAAAAGGAACACACTGCAGACCTACATTAAATCCCATAATAAATTTTCAGCAAAATGAATCCCTTCAGGATTATATTTCCTCCCAAGTGTTTCTGTAGCTATTTCTTGAAGAATTGCTTTCTCAGTTTTGGAGAAGAGGAGAATGGGTAGGGCCATTATGGTCTCTTTCAACCCAGGCCATTCTATGATTCTATGATAAAAGAGCAAATCGATCACAGAACATCCCTGCTGCAGCCTGCACCTGGCTGAGGCCAAGCACACTTGACACATGACAGGCAAAGTAATGCATACAGAACTGTTTCCCTCCTTATGGTCTGTCTCAGAGCCCTGAGAAAGTTTGCACGGAGCAGCTGTGCACACCTCTCTCATTTCTCACCACCACACAACAGAGATCTTGCTTCTCTATGCAAAACAAAGTTAGAACATATCTGTGTAAAAAAAGTGGTATTATTGTTTTCCTATAAGACAAGTTGCAGAAAAGTGAAGGGAGACACGAGTACTGGCACTTGCATTTTGCTGATCTTTTATCAGATAGTTTAAAAATTCATGCACTGCTTTGCCCTACAGATCCTGATTTGTTCCAATGCTACACACTCTGCAATGACTTGCCTTGCAAGAAAGGCTGGACCTGTCCCCAGGATCCCCATATTTCTGAAATACATGGTAGTTGAACCAGCATAGAATCACTTAGCAATATCACTGGTACAGTCTTGGCATAAAATGTGTATCCAAATCCTTGTGGTTGTTAACTGGGCAATGAACAATTGATCTGATACAAAGACATTGGTTACCTCCACAAGCCACCACTACCCACACATGCTGCACCACGCAGTGCTGCACAGCACCCTAATTGAGAAATCACATACTTTCTGACTACCAGAGAAAGGTAGACACTGGCCTGCAGACCAGTACCAAAACCAGTGATTTATCTGTGCAAAGAATAAAACAATAGGTCAAAGCATCGCCAAGTTTATGAGGCTGAAGAATCAGAATCATTTGATTTGGCAGGGACCCTTAAAGGCCACCCAGCTCCCCTGCAACGAACAGGGACATCTACATAAGGAACAAATCCATATTCCATACCTACACTAATCAAATGTCAGCTTCCCTAACAAATGCTCAAAGGCTCAGAGAAACAATTTTCAAAGCTGTCACAGGCAGCAACGTATTCAAAATCAAAAGACTCAACACCACTGCAAATAGAATAAATTACAGTGACCCTTCCTCCAAATCTCAGGAGCATTCCATTCATGCACTCCAGCCTTCTGCTACCACTTCATTTTGTATAGACCACGGGATTTTCAGAGAGTACATCGCAGATTTTCATTGTTTTGAACCATAAGAAACAACACCCACAGCCCAGCATTTGGCATAAGCTGGACAGATAGCAGCCTACACAAAGTCAAAATAGGGTTTTCCTGCAATTCCCTGAATCCTGGAACTGGCGTTCCAAACGCAGGAATGCAAACAAACAAATAAATAAACCAAAGGATGAAGCAGATGTGCAACACAAAGTATCTGTTTTAAAAGTTCCGTCGCTCCCATACCTGTATCATCGATGCCACGTGTGCCAGCCCTGACTGGCGACAAACGCCCTCCGACCCCTGGAGCCGGCAAGGGTAAGTGTGGAGAAGGTACCGTGGGCTCCGGGTTGGAAGCCGGGCCGCCACCCAGGCACCTCCGCCCCCCGAGGCGCTGACCTCGGGCAGGTAGAGCCGGTCCGCGGCGCTACTGCCGGGCGGAGCGCTGCGGGAGAGTGGGGAGGCAGCGCTCCGCTGCGCTGAGCGGTTTTGGCCGTGTGGCTTGTGCCCGGCTATGGGGATGTTCCGCTCCTAAAGACACATGACGCGACTCTTGCAAGGCAGATCTGTAGCGGTCCCTATCTCGCTGGGAGAAAAAAAAAAAAGAAAGAAAGAAAAAAAAAAAGAAGTAATAAGAGAAAGAAGAAAAAAAAAAGAGAGAGAAAAAGGAGAAGAGGAAAAAAAATGAAAAGAGGGAAAAAACAGAAAGGAAAAAAAAAGAAAAAGAAGAAAAAAGAGAAAAAAGAAGAAGGAAAAAAAAGAAGGAAAAGAAGGAAAAACAGATCTCAACCCTAAATTTCAGAACACTGGGGTAAAAAAAAAAAGAAAAAGAGCAAAACCAAACCAAACCAACCCCCTTATATTCACTGTAAGATGTGTGATGTTCCCCGTGCTTCCTTAAAGGCTATCCCTCAAGATCATCCGCTGCATATGGAGAGGGGAAGAAGCAGCCTATCTGATTGTTATAATCCAAACCCAAGCATGCATGATTCAGACTTTGGCTCTACTCATTGTTAAACAAGGACCCAAATACTCCGTTTTGGCTGCAAAGAAACTGAGGCTGCACACAACCTCTTGCAGGGAGCCGTATTCCACCGAGCACCCAAGCAGCAGTACCTGTAGTCTGCTGAAGACAACCTCTTTGGGATTCCCCATGTTCCACAACTGGCCAACGGGTCAAATACAGCAAAACCATGAAAGTGACACTCACACATCTAGCAGCAGTAAAAACTAGCAGCTATCAGGGGATAATGGAGGGGGTCGTGTCTACCTCATCAACCCCACAGAATCATTTAATTGCATCACAGAACAACTAAGGTTGGAAAAGGCCACTATTATTATCCAGTCCACCCATCAGCCCAACCCCACCATGACCACTAACCATGTTTCTCACTTGCTGCATCCACACAGTTCTGGAACACCTCCAGGGACGGTGACTGCACCACTTTCCTGGGCAGACTGTTCCAACAACTGACAACCCTTTCTGAGAAGAAATTATTCTTAACATCCAACCTGAACCTAATCTGGAGCAACTTAAGTCCATCACCTCCCATCCTATCATTGTTATCTGGGAAAAGAGGTAGAACCTTCACAACACCAAAACCTCTTGTAAGGTCACCCCAGAGCCTCCTCTTCTCCAGACTGAGCAATGCCAATTCTCTCAACTGCTGTTCATAAGGCTTTGCTACAGAGCCTTCACAGCTTGATTGCCTTTCTTTGGAGAATCTTTCTGAGTCTCCTCCAAGCAGAATACACAGATACAAATCTTAAATACCTGCTCCTTTTTAGCCATATATTCCCAAGAAATTTCAAACAACTCCAATTAACTCTACTGCTCTCACACAGATTTCATGGGGAAAAAAATTGCTTATAATATGCATTTATTCCTGTAAAACTCAGATGGTGAAACAGATGAGGATGCTAGCTGGAGCTTTTCTCCACTTCTTTATTTTCTCTCCATTTGGATATGAATTTATTTTAATTAATTCTCACTTCTACAAAGGAAGAAGTCAAGTAGGCTGTTGATGCTACAAAAATAACTAAGGGTTAGCATGCAACTCCCAAATCCAAGCACATCTCCTAGAAGACATCAATCTTTTTTCAAACCAAGTACACACCTGGGAACTGCTCTGATTCTTCCAACTCTGTTAGCTTCCTCCAAAATACAACCATCCTCTGAACCTCACCTTGCAAATACCCAAACACTCTCTTGCAGCTTTTCACAGGACACCAGCACGCTCACCAGTTTTCCTCCATGCTTCCACACATGGTTTTTCCAGAGCCTTTCCGGATTCCTCAGTCTGTAAAACCAGTTCTCCTTAGATTACCAGCATTTGTTCCTTCCAAAGTGAGCTTCTTCCTCAATCTCTGCAACTGTAGTGGCTGATGCTTTGTTTCTCCATATCAGACCTTAGCTGGCAGACAGTAACATCTAGATGCTGAGTTTGGATGTGAACAGCAGTTCTCCATCCCATCATGAAATGATTGAGGCAGGCCAAAGGCAGGAGCGTGTAGGTGGTTTAAGTCATCTGTGCAAGCAGTCGTGAGATACCAGCCAGAAGGGCAGGTGGGCCTCTGATGTGGAGCAGCTGCCTTCACCCTTCACACTCCTTCACAACTTCACAGAGTTCACTTAAAAATCAGTCCTCAGCAGCACGTCCAAATATGTGGGTAGTCCTGCATAGTTCAGTTCTACACTTTCAGTCATGCAGATTTCGTGCTGTTTCACAGAGGATGATTGCACCCATTGAAATAACATCTACCATTGGCTTTGTGAAATGCAGAATTAGGGGGCTGCTGTTTGTATCAGCAGCAATTCAAAGTCAGCGGTAATTCAACTGAATAAAACAGATGTAAGACTCAAATTAAGTGCATAGCATTCAATCCCAGTTTGCTATTTCTTAATCAGCTTTTCACAGTTTTACCTCTTAAAATGTAATTTGAAAGGCCATGTATGTCTTAGGTAATTTACTTGAAAGTAAAATATCTGAAGTCATTTAGACCATATCTAGATATATAGATAATAATATAGATAAATAGACCATATTTAAGGTGAGAACACGTAACAAGCCTTTTTTTTTTTTTTTTTTTTTTTTTTTTTCCTGCAATGTTGCTGAACTTCCGGGCTGAAAATCTAAAGAAAAAAAAGTTAAATGCTGCTTTTTAAAGTCCTTTGGGAGAAAAAGAGATCATGATCGTTTACTAAGTTTTAAACAGTTAACAAATCACTGCTATGGAAACGTATATAACCCAGTGCATTGCTTTGAGAAGTATAGTGACATATATACTACTTACAGACTTTGTAATCGAATTATCATTGTATTTCTACCTTTCAGACCATGAATTATCACAGAGCCAGCATGGTTAGCCATGCAGGAGCTGTGTTTCTGGTAGTTTCATTAAATGAAGTGTAAATTTGGCCTCACTCTTACCAATCCAGATATATATATCAATTTGTATTTCCCTTTTTTAATACAGATTGGTTTTAATGGGAGGTTTTATATTTATTGGCTTTTGTGGGAGGATATCCACACAAAAACCTATAGCTCATCTCTCAAGCATGCTTCATTTTCAGCCTTTAAAGTCCCAAAGAGTGAAGATCCTTTCATTCACTCACACTGCAGACACCATTCTCAACAAGTACGCTGATGCAGACTATTTAAGATAATTTAGTCAAATTACATTCATTTTCAGTCTTTTTGAGGTTACGAAATTGGGATGCATTCCACTATTTAAAAAACTGGGAGGTGAAGAAAGGGTAGGTTTCATAGCCTCAAGCACTAACTTGAAGGTGGTGGTCAACTAAAGCAGTGCAGGGATATCTACTCTGTACCTAGCAAGAACTGTCCCGAGGCCAGAAACTCCTGTGTGCTTCAACCAGCTGAGATTAAATTCTCCTATACTTTCCTTCTGGCCTGGGGGAACTGTTCTTTCTGTCATAGTAACTGAATTACTTAAACTGCTGCTTTCTTTCCTCCTTTTATAACACAGAGGCACTGACACAGTGTGTTAAAGATTTCAGAGGGATGCACGTCATTACCCAGCATGAGAGAACTGATTTGCCAGTGGCCTGTGAGTCCTTATACTCAGGCATAGAAATACATTTCTATTTGGGGCATGCATCAGTAGCACCTGGAACAAATTGTCTAGCATGTTTTTATTACCTTCTAAATCTATCTAATCTTCACTGGAGAGTAACCAGCCTCAGGTGGTGCTCGCTGTTGTCGCAGATCCTCACATTTCTTCTGGATCTTAAATAATTTCAGAAATAATTAGCTGGAAGTTCTGTACCCTTATTCTCAGAAAACGTGTACAGATAGAGAGCTATTTTCTGCACAGGAGAAAACAGAAGACATATTAGATCCCCCAGAGTGGCTCATGTCACAGGACAGTTACTCCACGTTCTGGTGGACTGTAGCTGGGTTTATCTGAACAAGATTATGTTTGTTGCCAGTCTTCCAGACAGCTATGGATAACCTTACTTCCTTGTAAATTAAATGGTATTTTTCCTATGTTTGTAGATAATTACTTATGTAACTGACTTTCCCATTGTCATAACTTGAGGCTCCACTTTCTTGCTGACTTCCACTTCATTCATGCAGTGCTAATAGGATCAAAATCTCCCATCCATGTGTTCTGTAACCTCCAAGAATAAGATGGCATACATCACAAAATGTTTCGTGTTTTAGATTCTGGTGTGATTTCTCTCATTTAGTACATTTACATTTTTCAAATGCTAAAAAGAGGTTTAAAAGGTTTTAAACCAAAGAACTATCCACGTTGCTTCTGCTGTTAAGATGATGTACTGCTGATGATGCCATTTTATTCTCATCATTTACCTCTGTTGGATGCATCAGTGTTCAACAGAAACATTAATGGAACAGCCTTTCATTTACTTGAATGATTTTACCAGTTTTTGCCAGCTGAAGATCCGTCTCCTGCCAAATGCAGCAAATGATGAGACATCTGGCATCTGAAGTGGCAATTTTCAGATTTGAATAACTAGACTGTAACAAACAACAACCCATTACTGAAGAAAGAGCAAAAATAATACTGTGTACTCTGTCTTTGGAAGCATTTCAATGATCTTAAAGTCAGAGATCTGAACTATTACTTCTGGACTTTCTTTCTGTGCCCATGACACTAGGACAAAATGAAAGAGCCATCAGACAAGGATTGGAAGGTTTCTCTGGGGAATATGTGCTAAATATTGCTAAACATTTTTGCAATTGCTGAAGTTAAATATTTTGAATTATTTGGGTGGCCAGTAAATGCTAGATGACATACAAGTAAACAGAACCTACAGTGTCATAGAGAAATACACTGCCTGTGAAGAATAGGTATAGCGAAACTACTTTTCCAGACTAACTGCCAGAGGCTGTAAAGTTCTGTAATTAAAAACAACATTTTTCTGGACAATTGCATTAGTAAATACAAGGAATTTTGTGGATTTTTTGCTTTATCATGTGGAGAAAAATAAGGATTTCTTTTGTTCTCTAAATTTAAGTTCAATAGCTTTCTCATTCTCTCTCTGAACATACAGATCCCAGGCCTGAAAATGAGAGTTTTCTCTCATATCCTTCTTCGGTTTGAAAGCTTTATGTCACCCAATTTAAGGTACCACCTCTTTTCAGGAGACAGTTCTGTGGTTACAGAAGTCACTACAATTATGTGGTGTGACGAGCAAGGGCACATATTGATTATTTACATATTCATTGGTTTATATTTAAGTTACTAGGCCCTTAATTTCATTCTTTGGCTAAAGACTTTATTGGACTCGCACGTATGAACACAATGTGAAATGGGCCTGACTGGTTCTTTGCATATCAGAGGTTGTATACATCCACATGCACATGTTCCTCTCAAGAACACAGAACCAACATGAGTATCATCATTACAGGCAGTCATTCAGTGTGTTAATACTTTTGTTCCACTGTGAAGATCAGAGTGATCTATAGATCCTTTGATTTCACTTTGAGCAATGTTGCATCATACTCTATAAAAAATAACATCTCTACATACAAATACTGAGCTCAGTATAGAACTACTCACAGTACTGTTCTTTCTCAAAAAATATCAACAATTAAAATCAAATATGAAATATGGAACAAGAATTGATTAAAAATAGTTCTGTCTCAGAAATTGCATGTCATTAGCTCTACCTCTATGTTCTTCGCACAATACAATGCAAGTCATGTCTCTTAAGAAAAGAAAAAGGCAACTAGGGATAAAATCATAGTATAATCTAACAATGTATTTATGTACTTTATAATTTATGCTCAGAACAAGTTCTGTTTTGTGTTTTATTACCATTTGTACTCTGCAACAATTTCCTCAACAATCTTATGAGTACTGTAGCTGATCTCTGAGAGAGCCTCTTCTGTCTATGAAGTTGCATCTCTACACAGTGTGAAGAAAAGGAGCATAAGCTAATGAAAGTTTAAAATGCCTGGCTCATTAAGGTGTTCTTAATCTCAGCCTCCTTCTTACACCTTGACCAAAATAAGCGTTGTTAGCATTGCTTTAGCATTTAATGCATGGATTGGAACCCATGAAAGAAAAAAAAAAAAAGAAATTCTATTAAAAAATGAAGAATTACATGCAGAAAAAAAAAATCAAGATGTTAGGAAAACAGAAAAAAAATTGCTGAAGGGAGAGAATTACTGTGGCTGCACATTGCTCCAAGTCTTGAATATTTTAGTCAATTTCATTGAGAGAAATCTCCCTTTGAAAAAAACTGAACCAAAGAAAGGACTTGGAATTTCTTCCCCTTGTTGCTTGAAGAAATATAACAAATTTCAAATTCATTTTGTAGAAACAGGGACTCTGTCAGTGGCATCCAGCGTCACACCACAGTAGTGTGTCAAAGAGTTGTTTCTCCTTGACAGTTGGACCAGATGATCTTAGAGGTCTTTTCCACCCTTTATGATTCCATGATTCATGCATAAAAACAGGACCTTGAAATGACAATACTGACATTTATACTCCTCAGCTGGAAGTCAGTGTCCACTGCAGAGCTTTCAGGGTTGGATCTATTTCTTGTTTATGTGTCTTTGGAAATGCTACACTGATGGACTCATCTATCATGCAGCTGCTGTGTAAGTAACAGCGTGCTGAAATTGTATCATCATTCTTAAGATGCCAGACCTGACTAAATCCTCCTAACAAGAATAATTAGCTATTAACTAACTTAACAGTCTACTGCAACAACTTGGATTTTTGCTAAGATAGTTGGTGCAGGACAATCTTAACAAGCAGAGCCATATATATTTTCAGGAGACAGTTTTATTCAGTAAACTGTTCAAACTAGTTGAGATTATGGAGAGTACGTTCCCCTTGTATTTACCACCAGAGTAGCAACTAAGGGACAAAAGTTGGTGGGCATGGTGATGATTGCATGATGGGTGGACTAGATGATCTCTTCCAACCTTAATGATTCTATAAGCTCTTCAAGCAAGCATAGGTATCTGGACTGCTGTCCCATATGCTCCCAAGCATCCTTAAAGATGGTGTGATTTTGGATACAGCTGGC